TGAGGCAAAACTTGAGAGCAAAATTAGTAGAAAATGGCTGCATTTACCAGGGAACCTTTCCAACTTTTCCTTGAGACTTTTCAATACTAAATCGTTTTTCACGCGAAGCTGGCGACAAAATTCAATCTTTTTTAGAACCGGTAGGTTCCTCGCGTGATTAATAAACCTAATTTTTTCATCTATGATTGTAATTTCCTTTTGAATAGGACCACAAAGTGAATCCATAGTCAAAGGCTACTATTTCCAAATAGCGCCAGATTAAAGGTAAATTAAGACGGCATAGTTAAATAATGTCAAGAGAATAGAACTAGATACAAAACAGCTTGCCTTATAAAAAAGTGCCTAGCTTCTAAAAAGTAATACAAAAAAATTTTGAATTTATAAATTACAATTTTTTAGTCGGAATGACGTACTATCACGTTAATCAAAAACGGTAGTCTCCTGTATCGGCTCCGTTCGCACTAACTTTCAACCCCGCAAGTCGACATCCCGAGAGATAAGACAAGATAGATGATAACGAATATAACTATTTGTACGCATTTAACCACCCAAGTCTTTTATACCCCTGTGTGTGAATGCATCTCGAACTTCAGCTGTTGTCGACAATCAATGGCACTCGGTAAACTCATGAATAAGCTTCATTTATGCGCGTTTGATGAATGTTCACTGGACTCTTGAGGCAGACGGATCTAATTCTTGGATGTAAGTTATCAGTCATCACAATGCCAATTTCATCAAATATTATGAACTTTTTGTTCACAAAAGTCAACTTAGGTGTTACAAAAGATGTTTGGCCAAGTTTATCTTACGCCTAACTTCATTCTCTTATTAAGCGATGGCTTACTCTCTGCCAAAACTGTCAGTAATGAACATATGCTACACTTATTTCTGCTCACCTTAGAGATGTCTACTTTTTTCTCCAAAACGAACAGTATGAATGTTTTTACAGAAATCAAGTTTACCCAAGGCAAAGTGAAGTGACACATAATTATAGCATTGTCTGATGGAACTCCATTAACATGCAATATGTCAGTGTATTTATAGCACTATTAAGCAAAAAAATAATTTAAATGTAACTCCCACTCACACAGCAGCTTAAGGCAAAATATCTGGTGCAAGAGTTTTCTCAAAAGCTTTAGCGGAAATTCAGTTAGTTCTTCTCAGTATCCGCAACCTTTAATAAAATTAAGATGCAGAGCAGCCAGATTTAAGACAAATTAAACAAAGAGGATATACTGCTTCACAAAACACGGCAGCGATGTGATTTCTGGAAAGCTATGTTTTCAAAAACCCGCACAAACAAAACACTTAGTCGTGAATGAAAGGCTTGTCAAATGAGGCCACTCCGAGTCTAAGTTTAAATCTCAGCTTTATTCTACTAAAATAGTTATCAAATCGCTAATCATAACAACTTCTTAACTTCCTACTCAAGATCCCGAGTCTGCGAAAATGAATAACTTAAGAGAACTAAGTAAATGTTAATAGGTTCGGAACATTACCTGCATTCTAATCAGTCATTTGACCAGCTTCTAGTTCCATATTTCTATGTCGTGTCCACAGGTTATGTCCAATATCTACTAGCATATTCAGATTATTATGCACGTAACAATATTATCGAAAGCGCTATTTTAGTAATCAACTTGTTCTCTGTACCTTTCATACTATACCTCACATTAGGTTTTTCAGGATGATTCAGAAGCGTTTTGAATGAATGTAAATGAGGATTGATGACGTGATTTTTGTTTATTACCTCATTCAGATTGACGCACGTTAGCTTTATTTGACTTGTTGTAGAACAAACGACAAATCTAGACCAGTTACAACCCCAATCTATTAAGAAGTTGAATACACAAATAAACATTGATTAGGTTAATTTTATTGTATCTTTACTCTTATAACTATTCCGGAAATTTCAAATGTACCGAATTAAACTGAAAAAACCTCCAATATAATAATTGCGACAGATTTTTTCTAACGAAGCAAGGTTATTGGGCCACACTTATGCTCGTATTGTGTTACAAACGCGCATTCAAATCCAAACATGGCCTCATTTCACACGATTTAACTTATACTTAAGGCATCATACTTCATTCTTGATTTTTAATTGAAAAAGCTATCATTTCTCACTTCGGATAACGGTTCATTTTAAACAAAACCTTGAGTTTCACCCAACTTCCTGTTTGAGACAATACTTTAATTTCTATACATCGTGATCTAGCTTCAGTATGAGGAGGGCATTATATCAGAGACCAATTAAGGTGTCCATTTTATTGCAATTAAACCTTTCTCTTCCATTGGAAAAATCCACTAGTTTGTTCCAAGTCACCTTAATTCACACGTTTAACTGACTTCCCACAGAATTCACATTTACGAACACTTGATTACAAAAGATTCGGTCTCTAGAATGGCTAACTGACTAAACGTTTGTCCTTTTCTTACGGTTAGCATTATAACAGTTAAACACCAACCGCATAGAGCCCCTAAACGAATTGAAAAAAAGGCATCGCAGTCTTACTCGCAAATGTTTGTGTGCCGAATGAATTCCTTGTGTATTTCACATCAAGTCAAGCGATTTTTATCCGAGTTCAGACCAAGGTCTTCATCGAAGAATATTTAGGTTTAGCGTAGTTATTATAATAAAATCAGCAAAAAACAGATTTCGAGAATGGGTATGACGTTAAACCAAAGACTTACTGGAATAGAGGCTGAGCCCATTGCTTAGGCTTTTATCGCAACCTGGTTTAGTCGTGATTTATGTATAGGGTGTCCCTATTCCTGACCAAGATTAAAAACGCACAGTGCGAACATTGAATGTTAAGTCGGGGAACGATTTGTTGAAGGCCCCGCGAAGACTATGAAGATCGTTTACTAGGTGGCTCAACCTAGTTGTGTTGGATGCTATGTGATGAAAAGGTCATTTCTGGCAAATGGGGGTTGTTGAACAATACAATCTGAGTGAACCCGTAAAAGTATAAATGGCTGGATGGTCAGATGAATGCGTAGAGAGCAGCCAGCGACCACAGTTAGCACCCCTGAGCGAACACGATTAACATCGATTTACGTGAGTGCACATTGTGTAGTTATGTTCATCCAGAGATTAATATTAATCGATCCTATATACATTGGTGACTTGTTACCTTGTGAATCCACGCCACTACCGCATTAAAAAACCTGTCGAACTACGCGTTATCTGCATCTATTCTCTCTTGTCCCATTTACCCTTTTAGTGTGTCGCGTTGTTTCTGGCCGCAACAAATGAAACAGGTGGCGTGGGTGAGGTCCAGACACAGAGGTGTACAAGCAGACGCTTTCGCATGATCGATAGGCAGGCCTCAAAAGGACGTCGGCGTGGCGATAAATGCGCCGACCAGGTTAATGGACGTGAATCAGCACGAGTCATTATCATGATGGGGTGAGAACCTGGGCAGGCTAGCAAATTCTTCAAAGCATCGATCATGTGTCCCGGCCATCCATTGTGAGTTACAAAGCCTTTACCCACAAATTATTCCCATACTCGACTGGTACCACATAAATCCTCACGTACCTTACCTGTATCAACTCGCATAGTAGACGATACATCAGCAGCTTTCACCGTTCTGAAAACTTTTGCAGCACAGCATAATCAATGCTACTAGTAAATTACTTCGAACAAACTTTGCTGCCGACGCAGTTTTTCTGTCAAATGTACAGTTCATGAAAATGGTTTCTGGTCAAAAATGCTTCACTCATTTTGTAAAACGAAGTAAATTTGAGATGTTGGGAAAGGTAACTGATGTGAAAATCTACCTGCATGTGGATGCATCAAAGTTAACTAGAGTGCATTCGAGATTTGTTGAATAGGCGGTGCTGTTGCCATTTATGGCTGGTGGTACAACCATTCGACAAATTACGGAAGGACGTCTTCAAAAGTTTTGCCGGTCGAATTACAGAACGCACTTTAACCATTTCGTGGTCTTCAGGCAATCTGTATTTTGCAACTATTGGATGAAACATGTTTTTTCGACACATTATACCGAAAGTCCAGGACAGAGTGTAGAGTTAGGCCGATGTATCCACAAATTGTGCACAAGACCACCAACAGTAAGTTCATTACACACGATTGCGTCTACATGCAGCGAAGAGCATGGATAGGAAATCAACGTGTGAACACACGAACTCGGCTGCTTCCTGATGCTCTTTAGTAAATCGACGGGGTGATTGGGAAAAAATTGAACCAAAACCTCTCTAGTAAATTGAGATACAGAGCATTTAGTTCTTAATACAACCCCTTCATTGTAATACCGATACACATTGCCGCTTATTCCTAGCTCGATATATCAATAGGTACAAGTTGACAGCAAGAATGACATTGATTAGCCTCCCATTCCAGTTCTACATCTTCTTAAACTTGATGACTAAGGGATCGCAAAAATCCAACACCTCAAAACTGACCGTATTGCTTAAACACAGGGATATTTTACGAAAAAAGGTTACTTTGGCGCCTCGCCTGGAGACAGTGCAAAAACCACCGGCAAGCTTGAGGGACCCACTAATGCCCACGCAATTACAGTAAGTTGTCCAAATTAAGAAGTCCTGATGGAAACTTCCACTAGAGAGTCAAAAATGGGCATTTCCATGTTCGACAAATCAATTAATCAGAACACCTGGCGATCCACACCGTGGATTAAAAAACGCGAGCCGGGGTTACTGTGCGATCAATACGTGAAAAGGCAATTTATAAGTCAGGATGACGGCATACGGAAGCAATTTGTCAATAAGTGAAGAACGGAAGAACGAAAGGTCGGACGAGGGTGATGGGCCTTTATGAAAGTGCTGTCTTTTGATTTACACACGCACGGAAACACACACAGCATCAGCAGATAGATAATGCGAGGGAGAAAGAGCGCGGATGATGCTGGGTGACTTGACTCGAGGCAGCTACGACCGGCCAGCAGTGGCCCAGACTAAAAAGCAGATAACTCCAGTTAGGCAGTAGTAGGAGTAAACCATCACAGGGGAAATCATGGATCCATCTCCCATAGTTCTAGGACGTGCTGCAACTTGGGTGAGACAAACAGCTGGTTGGGTGGTGGGGCATAGGCGACTATTGCATGGAATTAAACTGTTTTAAGCCCCAACTTTAGTCTAGAGCATTATTCTAAAAAAAAACGTTGGCCACGGTAGGTGGAAACAGCAGTCACTTCTAACTGCAACTGAAGGTACGCTTAAGGACTGTCGTCAAGAGGGCAAACAGTGCATGAATGACTTTGGAGGGCGATCGGGGAGGTCGATACAAAGTTACTCCAACAGAAATCATTCAACTGGCAACAACTGGAAGGAAACTCGGCATCACCGTTACGGAGGATTTACTATCCGAGATTAAGGGCTCCAGGTTTTTCGATGAGTGCGCGGCAATTAACCGGGAAAGTGGAGTGTGACTAATGAAAGCAAGCCTCACAGGTAGCCTTCATTTAGTTTAACCACTGTCAGACAGCTGATAAAAGTTTGCAGGATTTAAACCTTACATCAAATCACAAGTTAGAAGGAGTTGGGGATCCTATTAGCAAATTTGAAGAAAATACATCCGCATCCTTACTGACACCATTTACCCAACGAATGAAGGCCTTATCTAACCCTGCACGTGCAATGGTTGCTACGTCAAGTAAACAAAGCACATACATCAGTAGTTTACAGACCTCTCGGTTAGAAAAAATAACATCTTAGTGGAACATAACCACAGGTGTTTGCGAATCGGAACACCATAATTAAGGTCAAGTCTGATGTGCTCATATAAATATCACTGAAACATTTAACGACGACCCATTTCCTCAAGGATCAACCCGTTAGGAGAATTTCAGAATAGATTTAAAATATTAGAGCAGAAAAACAAATAATGACTTACTGATTATAACGATGATGAGGACAATTACAACTCCTACTATGATTGCCCACATCTAAAAAAAATAAAAAAAACTCAATTACATGAAAATAGTGCCATAACCGGGTTCTTTCATTTGTTTCCCATAAGCCATCCACTCGTACCAAGTTCAAAACACTTCAAAAAAGAAGCCACTAACAAAAATGCAAAAAAACATCAGGCATTGTCAAGATATGTGGCATTCCTCACCTGCATTTACTAACCTAACAACGTGAAGGCAACTGAGTAAATTTAACAACAGTGAGGATAGTTATTGTAGTGTTGTCATGCTGTCACGCTTATTTTGAGCATGACTACTGGGTCATCGTTGTGAAAAAGAATACGCCTTACATATCAAGCAACCAGTCTCCAGTTAGTAAAAACGTTAGATGACATTTATTTTAGGGGACAACATTGCCCTAACCCTTGGGCAAAATCTCCCATGCCCTTAGAGCTAATATCAGGCAATTACAATAGACTACATGAAATTATTTTCGCCCACACCTAATCGACTTATTGACGAAAAGGCAGCGCATATGGACACATCTTTACACAACAAGCAGTTGCTGGGATTATAAAAAATCTTAGAACATTGACTGTGAGACGGCCGCTCAAACATCAAAGAGGTCAAACCAAACATGACGGAAACGTGTTTTGAATGCTTGAGTGCCTTAATATACAGGAGAAAAGCCGTTAACAATAACTAATGGGAGTCCCAAAAGAAATTGCTAAAACGTGTTGATGGGTTTATACAAAAGCATATTTAGGAGAGCACAATAAAAATTCTTTTTTCCTAAAGGAACTTACCTCACTGAGACCTTCGATAATCAGTTCTTAAGGATATTAAACTGAGGAACATAAAATTTGACAACAAACTCACGATTCCCATAGTAGTTATCTTGTGAGACCAAACTACTGTGTTTGGAGCGAGAAATTTGATGCGCGTTTAGCTACCTAGCGCATCTTTTAATTGAAAGAATTTAATCTAAGTGAAATAATTTCATCCAACACATCACTGAGTTAACTAAAGGTCTGACGCTAAAAACTGCACATTATTTAAGTAAAATAGGTAAAGTGAAGCGAGGCTACAGTGGTCTGAAATCAGCGAAAAATCACTCGACGAGAAATTTGGGTTAAAATGTAAAAAACAAACGCTTGATCGGGCTTACGTAGCATTAAAATTAGTTGTTTTGAAAAAATGACATGAATGGTTACCTACCTTCATGTTTCTCCAGAAATACTTTCTCTGAATGCTCCGGGAAATAGACTCAAACTCACGGGAATGCACCTGAAGTTCATCTAAAAGTGAGAGGGTGGAAGGGCAACAGTACCGACTGGAAATTGTTGTAGAAGCAAAACACATTTTGCATGCATGGCGATAAATGAACTGGAGTAGATACAGGTTACAGAATGCGGCATGGAACAAGATAATCCGAAAATAAGAAAGGTATAAGTATGCACCCGTTCGTAAATAGAGAACGGAAGAAGCGGTAATGAACTACAAGGGCTGAGATTAGTGGGCTGCAAGCGAAAACATTCTACTACCGAAATATTTTATATTCAATATCTCTCAAAAAAATTATCTTTGCTCATTACCAGCATATCTTTAGTTTGGAAGAATTAACTTGAAGTACGTTACGGTTACACGAGTAAATTACAAATTTGTGCAAAATTCACAGGAAGTAGTGGAAATGACTTGAAAGAAGCTTCACAGCTGGGGTGAGTAAATTTTGATTTTTACTGGAATAGTGCAAATAGTTTAGATAGTCACTAAATGCCTGAATTTACCATCGATTTAAACGTGGGAGATTTATGTATACTTAGCGTTCTATATGACTCACAGCAATAATTAACTACTTAAAGAAACACTGAAGGCTCGAAGCTTAAGCTCACAATTAAGTTTCCTAAATTCATGACTACGGTTCATTTCGAAATGTGATGGAATTTCGACTTATGGAAAATCAACTGCACGCACCTGCCCGATGATCAAGGTCAGAGAGCCTTTGGTCTCGTTCCAACACTCGCGCAACATTGTCCTTCATAATCCCAACAACTTCATTTACTTCTGCCTGCTGTTGTTGTATTCTATTTTGTCCGCTATATGCATAGCTCTGGGCACTGAAATAGGAAGATCAAAACAGTAACCGTATGGGGGCATTCGCAATGCCAAAAAGTTTTAATTTAGGTCCGTAAACGCGCCAGCGTTACTTGGAGCTTTAATATATCAACTCAGTAGAAAACAGAATTAAAAGGGACTCGAATGTGAACAACACGAAACAAAATAGTGTAGTTGCTGCTCACTCAGAACGAAAATCCGCAACCTGGACTATAGTCCATGTCATAGGCAGCTACAATTTATCAAAGCCTACGTAAACTAAAGTTCGCTTTCGTAAATGAAAAAATCGCACAAAATAGTAAGCAATATCAAAAGTTCAGCCCGAATTTAATGCCCTTCGACGAAAACCAAAAACTTATTTGCTCCAGTATTTAACAAAAGTATTAAACGCTATAGACATCCACCTAAAAAGGATATTGGTTACATAAGCATTGCCTTTAGAATCATGAAAAGATAAAAATAAAGATTTGGGTATGAACATAACACTGTGCACTGCACTAGAAAAAGAGATATCCTTAACATTACAACCCAAAGACTTACTTTTCATCTCCAAAAGGCGAATTATAAGCCCTGAAATACCAAAAATGAGTAAATGTTCACAAATAAATAATTACATACATTTGTCTTCAACGATGTCGATACACACTATCAGCGCAATTGCGACAGCTCAAGCACCTCACTTCATGGAATCATTTCATTGGTTCATGGCTGTCATGCCTTAAATAATAATTGAACCAAATGTAATCAAGAAAAAAAAGCATTCTTAGAAGTTTTAGAACGCTATCTTTGAATTCCTAATATAAAGCTCTTGATCTTTAAACTCGGAAATAGCGTGCTGTTTTATTGCTACTTATGAAAGCAAGAACGGCTATTATTGCAATATCACTGAACATTTTTCATCGTTACACATAGAACCAGATTCAGGATAAACATGAAATATATCACCTTAATTGTTTAAAATTGACAACTCATAACAGTCAGTGAATGGTTAAAAATTGATTTCTGGTACATTTGCTGTACAATAGAAATTTCTCACCAATCAACAACAACGCATTTGTCTATTACGAATTTTGCAATCATTGTAGTTAGGATTATCTGAATTTTATTTAATCATACGCCAAGCACTTCTGTCAGACCCGCTTGCTGGATCGAATTTGATTTTATTTGTTAATTTCGTCATTTGTACAACGCGAAATTCCATTTGGCGAATCGAAATGTCTCACACATTTACAAGATTGATAAGATTGGCAATAAACCCATGTTCTCCTGTTAATGCCATTTTTTCCTAATACTAGCAATCGGAAACTTAACGCACTGAAGCTGGGTGCACATGAACATTTTTAAAGCACGTTTATTTCCCAGACTAATAAATTCTTTGCTATCAGTCGATCATTTTGCTCCTTTATGATTATTACAACAGCACGGTCTTAAGTAGGCCTTGAAATCGCTCCAGGTAATTTGATAAGTCACGTTTATAAGGTTTTTGTGGCATCTTGTTTTTCGAGAATGTTGAAACCTAATTCGTGTTCAACGAATTTTCACCTGAAGATCGATTTTCGTTTCAATCCTAGTCATGTGATTCTGTACTAGATTTTTTTTTGATATTAGAATGCAAAAAACTATCTTAGACTATTTTATAATTTATTCACACCTAAACTGAACCTAAAACTTAGTTTTCTGTGACGGCATTTAATTCGACCGCAACCCTATGACCTTGGATGAGTTGCTCGGCTGTGCACTACCATACCTTCGCTTCTGGTGCCGGAGTTGATGTATCGTTTGGGGGCCTCAGCTTATTTTCTTTGTTTCGGCACATATTACGTAGCCTGTTTTGCAAGCACCTCTGTACAGATTTTGTCTTAAAGTAGAGTTATACCGTTTTCTCACACCTTCAGTTATGATGAGCGATTCGAAACGTCATGGAACAAGGTATAACTTGAGGTTTTTATGCTAGTTTTTAAGGATTTTCAAAAAGGCTACTCCAAACGGAAAGGTTTGGTACTTTTACTTACCTCGAAGACCACTATTAGATAACTGTCTATCTTGGAAAGCGTGACTTCATCGATCATCTAACCCACGTCGATCCTGTCGGTATGTAATCTTCCCAGTTTCCTTACGTGACATGTTCCTTGCATTTTATGCATTCTACATGCCTAAAGCTGATGTAATGTTAATTATTGAAATATCTCTTTTCATTTTTATTCTATTTAGGAATACCTTTTCCCTCATGATCCAGTTTTTGCTAATTGCTAATTTATTTAGTTTCTCTTTTGACCAACTTTGCTTTTAGAGGGTGTTGTATTGGTTGATCCGGAATACGTAAAGGGTCGGAAAGTGTATGTTCATCTACTCTGCGCCTTCCGACACGGTCGGGATGGGGATGAATTTCACGGCATCAATTGGCACAGGGATTTGTTTCTAAACGTCAAGCAAGTTTATCCCGCTGTTGGACCTGTTGATGAAAACAATCCGCATTTAAGTTCTGGAAACCAAAAAATAACTCGCCTCCAAGAGCGTTTGATACGAAAATTAGGCCCGGATACCTATCCTTTCTCTTTCAAAGTAAGCTTCTGCAACCTTAATCATGCACACAAGTGTTCGTGATGCCATTTATCCGCTTCATTCTTCTTCTGTGTACATTTCACTTATTCAGCCGTGATTGCTACCATGCGCAACACATCGCACAAAAACTAGATATTTTGACTTATTTCGGGATGTTTACGTTATCTTACTCGGATGTCGTCCCTTTTTCAAAATCTCTTCTCATCTATCGTAAAGCAATTAAGTCGCCATATGAGAAACCAAACTTCCCGTATATTCCCCATTTTTTGCAATCATTTATAACATCAACTAAGTACGTTTTAATTTTTAAAAAAAATTTAGCTGCTAATTCCACAACGAAACTTAAGTGACTTTAAATGCAACGTAATGCATCCTTATCTAAGTTATCTACGGCAGTAAAACAGTGTTTGCTTTAAGATTGTTTTCGACCATCTATTTTAAGCTCTTCGATCAGCTTTAGTTTGAAGAGGAATAAATCACAAGTGACAATGTAGCAGATGGTGCGTTTGGAGTGTACATAACCAAAACGTTATTGCGTCTAACCGAGGGAACATCCGAGGTTACTGTAGGTTCACAATATCAATCTTCCAGGCATTCAGTCCAGTTCTTGAAGTTCAAATCTTAATCAACTTATTCCATCATGCGTCTGTGGTATGGTTATGTTTTTGGTACACTCGCGATGTACCAAATGAACATGGTTTTTTCCATTTGTGAAATTTTACCTATACTTCGTCCATGAGTTTACGACGAACCACATACTTTGCTTTTTTGCCGTTTCGTCGTTTACAAACCGACCGCAATTAAATTTGGACGAACATTTTAATGGTGATGTTTCTAGTGCCCCCTTAAATGTATATCGTCGATGGTATTTCTGATGTTTACCTGCCTATCTTTCACCAAGGGAAAATTTTTGGTGCGGACTGTTTGTTTTAAATGTTAAATAAGTTTGTAGGACAAGTTTCTACCCATCTATTACCTAAAAAGAGGTCGAACTCAAAACATTTCGCCGTACTTTTGCTGCAAATAAAAGAAACTTTTTTCTCTTCTTGTACAGGAACTGTTTTCTGCCCAATTCAACATGACGTTTTCAGCCACGGCACATTGCTTGTTCCCATAGTACTAAACTACTATCCCAAAATATGCATTCTTTTTCTATGTTAAGCAATATCGAACGTACTAACATAACCGTATTTGGTAAGTGCGCAACTGGCATTTTTCTGTCAACCCTCGGTTTTTCCCTAATTTGCTGTACTTTTGTAGCTTGTCAACGAAGCTGGGCTGATATCCGATTTACTAATATATCAAGGATTTTGGTTGTTCTTAATGCGTAAAAACCACCGGCTACCTAATTGTCGCATTTTATTAAAAAAAAGCACTTATTTTGCTGGTCTTTTGAATCCGCAGTTTGGACTTGCCATGAGTACATAATGTGGAGGCATTTGACATCGCAGCTTCAGTTTCTGTCAAAACCAATCATTTTCCTTTAATTGATGTGTTTCAAGTGACGGCATTCTGGGCTTTTAAGCGCCCTATTCGGGCTCAATGTATTATTTAGTGTCCCCTTTCCAACTTGAAACGGCTGAATGCCACTTGGATCGACCGTCGTCTCTCGCCTCAAATGGAGACGCCCGGACTCGAGGAAACGCTGCATTTACATTAATCCGTTGAAATTGCAACCAAATTCCCGATGCAATTTCAGCTTAACTGTCTCTTCTGCCGTGTGTCACGAGTCTTGCACCCGTAGGTCTAAATAAAAGACTCAGTTTAAGTTAACACGACCGCTGGTCTTCTGCACTTGATGAATTTGGGCATCACGAGTAAACTTCCAAAATTCTTATACCATTCGGAAGTAATGCAGCATACCAATAAACTACGAAGCTTGTTTTTTTTTGAATTCTAATCGGACAAATTTATGCATGACTGCGTTGCGGTCGGGCAGATTAGTTTCGGGAAACAACTGGCAGGCCGCAGATAGTTAGCTCATTGTGCTGTAGCTCAACGTTATTAGTAGTTGCAATCATTTATACAGTGAGTAATCGCGTTTTCTAAATATGCGTAATTCAGTTCATGAGTTGCCGTTCTTTACACCGCGTCCTTTTTAGCTTTACTTCGGGCAAATATCAGTTCACAGTTCTTTATTGAAAAAGTGTCTTCGCCACACGTGCTAGGACTTATCTGGTGGTTTGACAAGGAGCTCGGCTAGTGTCATCAGTGGTTTTAGTTTTGGTAGGATAACCCCAGCACTTTCCAGAACTTGTTGCACCATGGACAAAAGTCTAAACATTCCAACACCATCACACTTGTGTCTTTTTGTTTTATAATTGAATCTTATCGAGTTAATACGAAGCACGCAAGTTGCTGTACATATTTTCGTTGGCTAACTAGTATATTGCCAAAAAAGAGGGTGACTCCAGCCATTTCCGTTCCGCCTGTTGCGTTTCCTTGTTTTTTTCTCTCAAGGAAGTTATGAATTGCTGTGCTGGGATGCACATTCAGATGTAACTATTTTTCTTTTGGCATCCATACTCACCTCTTGACTAAATGGTTCATATCATCCTCCTGAATGTTTTCTTAACTCGAATCGGGAAATCGCCTTAGCAGTCTGTCCTCGTTTCACCCAACACTGTGGCCTCCCTCAGCCAGCCTTTGACTTCCTTCTCGGGCGTGGGACGCACAGGCGCAGCCTGTCGGACACGTCTGACGTTTTCCGCTCTCAGCCTCCCCTCTCTTTATAGCCACGCGCGTGTGTGATGACTCATGGCCGTGTGGGTCATGTGTCTGCAGCGCCTTCATGTCCAACCCATTATACCCCCCTGTCAAACAGCTGTGCAGTCGCTAGTCCAGACAGGTCGTTTTATTTCATCCGGCCTTAAATTCTGTCTTGGCATCGCCAAAATCCCACCGGTAACGTCTTAACGTCTGCGACCAATTTAGCGAACTTTCCTATTTGGTTGTTGTGATTACACGCCGACCTAGACAGCCCCCTGACTATTAATTTTGGACGGAATGTACCTAAAAACTTCAGTTGTCCGTATTTGGTTCGATTGTGTCCATCCTTGTGGCCACCTGGTGCGAAACAATGCTTAACACGGCGGATTGTCGTGTCCCTCTCATCACCCACCTAGATCCCGTGTGGTTTGAATTCTCGAGGGCTCACGTGTCAAAATAAATACCGAACAATGGACCGTATGCACTCATGTTCAGGAGGTTGTGAGGTCGTCTACCATGTGCAGCTGTGGTCTATCTTGGAATGTTTATTATTAATGCGCATTGACCATATTTCGAGCTATGTTCTTAACCAGAGGGTTAGCTCTAATCGGCTCTCTAAATCCTCCTAGCCTAGTATACCGACTCCCTACAAATTTGCAGATATTACTTCGAACACAATAATGTAAGTAAATTTGATTCGGAGTTTAGAAATAGTTAATCGTTAGGGGGATTTTTGTCGCAGCGCATATTACCGCTCTTCGTTTTTCCAAATCAACCGGCTGACTTCTAAGTCTCAAAATGAACTAATTTGTTTTTTTAGTTTCCACTGCGCTCAAAATCGCATTCGTATTAGACATGCTTGGTTAGTTCAAATACTCCTTAAGCAGTGCCTTATTTACTTGCGCTTTTTTCGTTTAATGCCGTTGCTTGGTTACTTAAATTAAACTGTGATGACCTGATTGCACCGAATCTACTGCTGCGGCAAGACCATTTACCTTTTAAGTCACGCAGCTCTCGGGTCGAATTTTTAATCGAGACTCTATGTCATGCTACGGTCGCCCTATCCTGCCTCATTTGTTTTTTTTCTCGCCTAATGTGCTCTAGATTAGCAGTACTGGAGATGAATTTGTCTCTATCGTTGACATATGAATGTACTTCATCTTACTATGCCTCCTATTTGCATATTGATTCGTTATTCTCTACAACGGTTCTTTTTGTGAATTGCCAAAGTACAGTGTCTGTTCAGGTCTAGTCGAGACTTTTCTGCTCTTTTTCTGTAGGCAACGAAGGAATACGTTGCTTGCGTTGTGTCCGAAATTGCGCCACCTCTTTACTTGATTTCCCAAGCGCTCTTGAATGTGGTCCATTCAATTACAACTCCACACTCCGAAATCTCGTTGTCCGATTGGTTGAACGACCCCAGTATTGTAGATATGCGTACATTCGTGTGTGTGTATCATCTGGCCTCCAGAAATTAAAACTGAGCTACTCGAACATACGCTGCTCATCAAGGGGATTTTTTAATGCGATTTAGGTTACCAAAAATATAATAAGGTAGGGAAGTGTAGGAATATCAAAATTCGAAACTTTTAATGCTGATTTTATGAGTGGCCTCATCATGTCTTTGAGGTCCTCTTACTTTCCTAGGTTCTGGTACACGCACACGCAAGTATAAATGCCCAAGAATACTAATAGACCCCCAGGATTTCTTTAATGCCGACTTTTGAGGACCTCGATGCCCTGCAGCGTGTAATTTAACTTATTTTTTCCTATTTAACGGAGAAAGTTTTCGAGTGTTTTAATTTGGGTGGTTGATTCGGCGTTTGTGCTTCTCCGGTATTGGCGTATTCGTGAGAGTCGCTTCACTGCAAATGGCCTACTTACTGGCGAGATATGTAATAAATATTGACGCCACCTAACCGCTGTTTGTGTTGATTACCCAAAGAAAGACTGTAAGTTGATTTCAGTATGCTAATTTTGGTTTTTTACCTGGATTTGTAAGACCATTCCAAAAATTGCTTATTTTACTCTTGGGACAAACCCCGCACAATTTCGATCCCAAGAGCTGCGTTACCTTTATGCTCTACGATATTACTGATATCTTGAAAAGAATATTTTTCTAATTTCGGAGGATATCACTGTTCTCGGAGTATATGTTACGTTTACACGAGTGATCACAAGTTCAGCTTCGTTCTCCTCTAAACGATTGCTTTGGAAATCACTTAAGTTTTGAATATCTCCACCTCCCCATTATCTCAAATGTGCCAGTCAGTTGTGTAATTTGTAATGAGCTTGAATGCGCTCACACGAGGTTTCTTCACTGTTTGTGGTAAAATTGCCAGCAAGTTGACCTTTTTTGCGGTTGAGATAATAACCACGCCGGCATGAGATGCGAACAAGGTAGTGGTGTTGCACACCTCCATGCACGCGCCTCATGGGTCTTGTCCAATTTGGTTTCTGCACGTGTACTGCCCCAGCACTGCCTTGATGTGGCTAATTCGCTGTATCATCATTGTTGTTTTCCGTTGTGTGTGAATGTGTTTTTACCAGGCGGCTTGTTCTGCTTTCGTTCAGACTCAGTTCGATTCCATGGTGAGGCCTGGTTCACGTCATCAAAATTGACCCCGCACGTGAAAGCTTAATACTGCGAATAACTCTTCCACGCATCACATGACCACCAATCGAGAACTCCTTCTTTTTTATTCTGAAGGAGCCCGCTTATTTCTGATAGTTCGCTGTGTAGTTTTAACTTCTCACAGTATTACTGGTAAATTTTAAAATCTAATTTAAGATTTTCGTAGTGACGTTTCAGGGGTTTGAAATGATAGCAACTTTAACTTTTCCATTTTAGCTCCCAACCTACACTCCTGCTTCTGTCTCCCTTCTTTTGCATTCCTCTGATGTGGGAAAAGTGAGTTTCTTGTTTTCGTTCTGGTTGTACTTTTCAAAATTGGATTTCGAACTATGCCGGGCTAATTTTCCCATACAAAAATTACCCAAGTGTACCATTTTTGATGCTCTCGTCTTTTCATTAATTGCCCTTCCTATTCAATTTCGTAGACATGTTGATCAAAGGGGACACGTTGAGTGCTCGCTTGGTCCATGTTTTTTATGCTAATAATAATGGACGTGTGTTGACTATTTTTGCTATACAGACGTCCGTTAGCCAGGTACCACGAATCTCCTGTCTGTGGCTGTTAGTTTCATATACAACTGCATTAATTGATTGACATTCTTCGCTAAGGTCTTGAGCGTGGCAGTCTTTGCTACTTCCTTCCGACAATGCGTTGTTAAGTCCATTTTCATTAATTTCAATATTTGCTGCATCGCCATCATTCTGTTTTTTGTCCGTTATTAAGCTTTCTAAATCAAAGGGCGCGTACTCTAGCGTTACAATTCCGTACTTTCCCGAAGTCAGTGAGTAAAGTGTTCGCTGCGTTTTGCGTTTTTTGAGAGTTGCCATTTGCAAGATGCTATAAGTTTTCTGTCCTTTTGAGTCCCATAAGTTAGTTTTTTTTTAAATTTGAAAATGCCTTCGAAGTACCATGGGATATTCAAGTCCTTATTTAACAGTAATACTTCTGTAATTTAATCTGACCCCAATTGTGTCCGTGCCACTTGGTGCGTCCACAACATTACTAATTGATGTTAGCGCGCAAGCAGCAAACATCAGAGCTTCTAAGTGGCTAGTTAATGCGTCAGTGATATGGTCTTTGTTTTTGTTTTGACCATTGCTAAGCGCTTTTCTCGGAAATTCCTTTACTTGTAGTTTAACTGCGTGGAAAACAGCAAAGTTTCATTATTTTTTAAACCATATCTGTGGTTGTTCAAATAAAAATTATCGTATTTAGGTTAATTGCAGATGTGGCAGAAAATTTACCCTAAAACCGTAGGAACGTCCCTGACGAGCCAATTTTTTGTTGCCTTTGCACGCATCAGACCATGAAATGTGCCCTAACGGAGATTTTCTAAATATTTCATCGTTAGCGAATGGTTTGCTCTGGAAAAAAAAGGCCCTTGCGCACTCAAATGCACTTTCTCCC